CTACCGTCCATTGGCGCGATCTTCAGCAATTTATCTACCCAACCACGGAAATTAGGAACATCCCCCACAACTCTCATGGTTGCTAAAAAAAGGGGGGGAGGTAAAATTAGATGAGATAGTCCCTTCTTCTAGAATTGTCATTCTGATAGGGGTATAGACCATTCTGAACCTAGAAGAAGATCATTCTGATAGGGGTAAAGATCATTCCTCTTCATGGTTGCTGAAGGTTCAGAATGATCTTTACCCCTAGAAGAAGATTTGTGAGAAAGGGAACCTCTGGTTCTAGAGGAAGGACCAGAACCAGAAGAAGGTATAGACGAACCACCTCGAGTAGATCCTAAACTACGAAGTCTACCTCCCCTTCTATGCCTAACAGGGGCATTGGGGAAGGAGTCAGTAATGGAAACTCTCTCAGGGTTAGGGCTTGGAGAAGACATATCAAAGAGGAATGATCTAAGGAAGAAGTAAACAGAGATTTGGAGAAATAAGTGTTCAATAAGCTTTATGTGATAAAAGGCAAGGGAAAAAAATTATATTTATACCGATAAGCAACAGCCAAAGGTAAAAGTGCGGAGGTGGAAAGACCATAATTATGATAACTGACACTTCATTAATAGTGGAACCGTGAAAACCTTGAAAAAAACTGCAAAAACTGCAGAGCCAATGAAAAATTGATACGTGTACGAAATATTAAATGGAAGTGACAATTGAAGCATCAATTTTGTCATAGCATTAATGGTGACAAAAATTCTCGTTTTAATGAAATCCACTTCCCAAATATTCAATTGATGAATAAATGGAAAGTGGGGGGACTATCTGTATTGGGAAAAATTGCATTTATATATGCAAGTGACATGTTGAGACACGTGGTCAAATGATCAAAGAATTATAATTAGTCAAGAGGCACGAGCAGTAGTAGAAACGAGCAAAGGCAAAGGAAGAGGCACTGGAGGACATTTGAAGGATTCAGCGCCCGTACCTATTTAAATCATTTATCAAAAGGAATGGATAAAGAGCGCAGATACGGAATTCGACAGGCATTAAATACTGGATACGTTAGAGAATTTGTATTGATTACAATGATTGTGTAATGTAGCATTCAATGTCTTTAATTATTCATAATAGACTCATTATGATTTGGAGGAAACGCATATCTTCAAGATACCTATAAAAGGGAGGTATTTGGCCACTTGTAAAGACAAGACACGATCGGAATATACTTTGATTCATTTGTTTTTCTCCTGATTATACTCTGGTTACTCTAAATTACTTTCTTCTACATATTCTTTTGATTATCAGTAACCCGCGTTCTTTTAAATTCTAACTTTGACTAAAATTCTATTTTTTGATTAAACACTACACCCAGTGTTTATTATTATTTTTTTCCGGCAGCCAGTGCATGACTCTAACACATCAAGTTTCAAGAGAATATTCCTTGATTGTCACGCGTCACCCATAAAGCTTCTTTTTTTTTCAACAGTGATAAAGTTTTCATATATAGTAGTAGTATTTTTTAACATTAGTAGTAATTGGATAAACGAATTGCAAATTCTAATTTTATTTGCTCTCTCATTATATTTCAAGAAGTAGGCATAATAACAAAACCAATGAAAAGCTTAAAGCATAAAATAAAGGAAATTGGTACATACTGAATATGACGTTAAGCACCTTATTTTAAAATTTAAAGCACCCTTATACTTTTTCATAAATTTAAACAGCCTTAAGACTTTCGCTTTTTTCCTTTCATCTTGTGGTATTTTTTTTTTTGGGGGGGGAGGAGAGG